TAATTCCCAAACAAATGTGAAAAGTTTGCCGTGCCAATCCTTTTTCCGGTAGTGTATGTAATTGCGCACATTATTTATCGATGAACTGTACATACATATATATATATATTTTTTTTTTTTAACACAAGAATAAACATTAACGTTAACATTAGCACGTAAAGTGCCGAACAGAAGTATTGGCACAGTGCATTTTTCGCAATATATGCAAAGTTTTTTATTCTAATGTATTTTCGATAACTTTTCATAAAAATATTGTTTACTCTACACCAGAAAACATAATAATAAAATCTCTAAACTTTGTGAAAGAGTCAGGAAAATTCATTAAATTTGCATCCTAATTTGCAACTTTTTATTCAGATTTTTTAGAAAACTTCTAAATATGCAGTTTTATAGCCCATTCAAACTTAGTATAACAAAGTGCAAGTTTGAAGTCGCTAGAAAATCGCGTTGATTTTTGGAAATTTTTTTCACGCAAGTTCTTCCATACAAAGTATATTCGACAATTATTTTTTGTACGGAGAAAATGAGCAACACCTTCCACTAAAAAAATTGCCAAAAATCAACGCGATTTTCTAGCAACTTTAAACGTGCACTTTGTTATACTAAATTTGAATGGGCTATAAAACTGCATACTTAAATCTGAATAAAAAGTTGCAAATTAGTGTGCAAATTTAATGAATTTTCCTGAGTTTTGCACAAAGTTTCGAGATTTTATTATTATGTTTTTTGGTGTAGAATGAACAATATTTTTACAAAAAATGATTGAAAATAAAGTAGAATAAAAAACTTTGCATATGTTGCGAAAAATTCACTGTGCCAATACTTCTGTTCGGCACTTTATGTATATGTTACATAGCCCTTGCTTCGCGCTGTATTCCGTACAAATTAACAGCAGAGTGATCTCTTATTTGTGATTTGCTGGTGAGCAGTGCTGTTATGTGGGAAAGTATGTTAGATTCTATAGGATTTTTAAAGTCTTGCAGTTCCATTATTAAGAAGTATTTAAAAGTTTTTTTTTTGTCTAAGACAATGAGAAGCCCATCCCGAACCTATAACTAAAATTTAAAAAAAATCGGTACAGCCGATCTCGAGCTTTGCGAACAGAAAAAAAAGCTTTCAGAATATATAGCATTTTCAGTTTAAATGAAACCATTTTCAAATTAAGTGAAACCTTTTTCAAATTAAATGAAACCCTTTTTAGCTTAAGCGAAACCATTTTCAAATTAGATGAAACCTTTTTCAGATAAAGCGAAACCTTTTTCTAATTAATTGAAACCTTTTTCAGATTCAATGAAACTTTATTCAAATGAAATGAAACTTTTTTCAAATTAAATGAAACATTCTTAAAAGGAAGTTTCTTTTAATTTGAATAAAGTTTCATTGTTTCTGAAAAAGGTTTCATTTAGTTTGAAAAAGGTTTCGCTTTATCTGAAAAAAGTTTCATTTACAGGTCTATTCTGCGCTGGTAATAAAAAGTTTGTAACCGGTAAATAAAGTTCCTGTCAATTTTTAAACCCTTTTCGCATTCTGTATACTCTTGTAACCGGTAAATTTTGTTACCATCTTATAAGCTGGTAACAAATTATTGCCCCGTGAAATATGCAATGTCAGGATTTGCACAATTCTTCATAGCTGAATTGCTGAATATTTTAACTGCATTACCAACGTACCTAGAGTCGCGGTGACAAGAGCTGGTAAAATTGTTTGGTAATATAATTTTCCGGTTACAAAATCTTCGGTAACGTGCAGAATAGACCTGTTAATTTGAAAATGGTTTCGCTTGACCTCAAAAAGGTTTCATTTAATTTGAAAAAGGTTTCGCTTTGTTTGAAAATGGTTTCATTTAATTTGAAAAAAGTTTCATTTAAACTGAAAATGCTATATATTAGTATAGATATATTGGCGCTTACACATGTGTTAGTGTTTGGCCGAGCTTCTCCTCCGGTTTGTGGCGTGCGCCTTGATGTCACTCAAAGGCGAGTGTTGGCACTAATCGATTGATTTTTTAATCAATTAGTTAATTTGATTAAATTCAATCGAATTACAGTTAATCATGATTGAATTTAATCTGATTAAACAGTTAACCGCAATCGTGATTAAAAAAATTATTTTTTAATCATTAACCCTTAATTTGATTAAGTAGGTTTGGTGATTAATTAATTTATGCTGGAATTGTCTTTTACACACAAGGCCAGTTAATCGGGTATGGCTAGGTGGGTTTCCCTCATCAATTTAAGCAATTTGGTGTGCATTTTGGTTGTGATCTATTACCAACAGACGTTATGCAAACTAGGTTTTAATATCTCTCTGCACATGTGCGATGGGTTGTAAAACTTCTCAGTGTATGTTATACAAATTGTAATTATTATTTGTTTATATGTGACCTGGTCTACGAAAAGGGAGCTTACGTGCGAAAACTAGTTTTCTGTGAAAAAGCTGTTAAAAGTAAGCAACTCGTTTCGTTTACTCGTTTTTACTCTTCTTTCTCTACATTTTTAGTACACTTCTAAGAAAGTTAGGATTTTCTGCTTTTCACCACGTGAAAAAGCATCTCATCTTCCATCCGAATCAACCAAAAAGTGAAAATTGATTTTTTGACACCTAAGCCCCCTTTCCGTAGACCAGGTCACATATAAAGGGTGAACCCACCAAAACTGCGACACTTAGAAATTACTACCAGAAACAAACTAGAAGGCTTTAAAATTATTTTTTTTTTGTCTTATATAACTTGGAAGTTTAGATGTTATGAAAATGTTAAAATATTAGATATTATTTGCTCCATATGCAAGTGATCGGTATTTTCATCGCACACGCGCCATCATGTTTTGCACGACTGCATCATCGACATTACGCGATGCGCACAACTACTTTGTTTTGCACTCTTCAATAATTTTCACTCTTTCACCTGTTTTCTTCAAGATTCCTTTGACAATTGACCAATATTCCCCAATAGGACGTGGCTCTGGGCTATTGGGTGGATTGCAGTCGTGAGGTACAAAATTGATGTTATTTGCATTATACCACGGCAATGTGTCCTTGGCATAGTGGCAGGTTGCCATGTCCGCCTAGAACGATGGCCTACTCCTTATCTGTTGATAAATGACAGAAGACGCCTTTTGAGGCACTCATCCCGATAAACTTGATCATTCATTGTCCCGGATGGGAAAAAAGGGCTGCTCTTACGGCCGCAGGAACAAATAGCTTGCCAAACCATGTGGTTTTTGGAAATTTGGGCTTCATTTTCAGCTTACAACTTACAGGGACATCTTGACGACTTGCAGCAGTATAAAAATCTTGACCTGCAATATATTTTGAATTTTTATAGCAGTAGGTTTCGCAGTCCATAACAATGCAGTTGTATTTTTTAATTTAGAATTCATACAACTTCCGAATGCGGGATTTCGCTGTAACATTCTACTTTGCGCCTCGGTCTGGCGCTGTTTGGGCTGTAGAACATCTCAATGAGCTCTCCGCTGTACCTTTTGTACGAAAAACTGCGATCTCCGTACGGATTTTGCAACATAACGCGACAAAATCTTCGGATCTCGCGAAAACGCACTGAGGACCTTCCGAGCACTGTTTTTATCACTTTGACCATGCTAACCCCCGCTCCCTGGTTTTCTCGTAACTGTCAGGCCTGATTTGTAGCGATTAAAACCCTGGAAACTGTCGAATAATGCACTCTTTAATTTTTTAGCAATTTTACGTGTACTTAAGGCCGGATCATTTATAAACTCGTGCAAAATGGTTTGTCTCGTTTCTAGCTCGGTTGCCATTTTTAACTCAACAAGGAATCAAATTCAAATGAAATTTCTTCTACGTTCAACTAAGGTCATGGTCAACTTATGGTATTTGAATTTCAAAATATTGAATTCGTTTTGGGTAAGTTATAAGCTTCCCAAAGTGTCGCAGTTTTGGTGTGTTCACCCTTTAAGTATTATGTGTTTTTTATAAGCGTCACACACAAAAGAATAACCGTAAATGGTGTTTGATTCAAAATGCGGACAAGCTACATAGACCATTTAAATAGTTTTTTTTTTAATCGAATTAACGATTGATGATTAAAATTAATTAATCTTAATCACAACCAACGATTAACTCTTAAATAATTTTAATCATTAATTATACAGATGATTACGTTTAATTAATTTTAATCGTTAATCGTGATTAACATTTTAATCGTTAAGTTTTAATCGTTAATCAGATTAACATTTTGCCAACACTGCCTACAGTTTTACGCCGACTCCGAACAGGGATTGTATTTTTATGATGTATTGCGGTTATACATAATATTTAATTTTTCAAAAAAAACCTCAAAAATCAGAGTTCCAAACCTTTGCAAAATTTAAGAAATTCCTCAAATTTTCATTAAAATATTGCACTTTTAAATTAGACTTTAGAAACAAATCTATTATGCAGCTTTTAGCCCAATCAATTTTAGTAAAATGAATTGCAAGTCTGAGCTAGCTGGGACTAACCATTGATTTTTGTCAAATTTTTTGTTGAAAGTGTCGCTAATTTACTCAATATTAAATAATTTTCAATAATTTTTTTATATGGAGAAAATGAATTGAATGGACTAAACCCTGCATATTGAACTTTTTTCTAAAGAGCAAATTTTAATGAAAACTTGCAGAATTTTCTTTAAGTTTGCACAAGGTTAGGAACCCTTTTTTTAGGCTTTTGTTGTAGAATTAAGCATATTATTATAAAAAACTAGCGAAAAATTTAAATATTTAAAAAACAGTTGCCCGTATTGCAAAAAACTCTGTACCTAAACTTCATTGATTAGACTGTAGTAATTTTTTATTAAATAAAGCGTAGACTCTTGTCTAACAGTGTGTAAAAGTTTTTTGATTCCGATCACGCATTTGGGCACAGCAACCAAAAATCGTTGTACAAATAACTAAACCATACCAAAAACATCTTCAATAGAAAAATATATTATTATCTTATATGTATATTTAAATATATTTATTTAAGTACATATGACTTTATAGGTATTGATCCCCCGCGCGGGGTGTTGATGTACGGACCACCCGGTTGTGGAAAAACTATGTTAGCTAAGGCAGTAGCCCATCATACAACCGCTTCTTTCATTCGCGTTGTGGGTTCTGAGTTTGTTCAAAAATACCTCGGTGAAGGACCCCGCATGGTACGCGATGTTTTTCGTTTAGCAAAGGAAAACGCTCCAGCTATAATATTTATTGATGAAATTGATGCAATCGCAACGAAACGATTTGATGCTCAGACAGGGGCCGATAGGGAGGTGCAGCGTATCCTATTGGAGCTTCTGAATCAAATGGACGGGTTCGATCAAACGACGAATGTAAAAGTCATTATGGCAACAAATCGGGCCGACACATTGGATCCTGCACTCTTACGACCTGGTCGGCTTGACAGAAAAATTGAGTTTCCTCTTCCAGATAGAAGGCAAAAGAGGTTAATATTTTCCACAATTACATCAAAAATGAATTTAAGCGAAGATGTGGACCTGGAAGATTTTGTCGCGAGACCCGACAAGATCTCTGGAGCAGATATTAATGCTATTTGTCAAGAGGCGGGTATGCATGCTGTCAGAGAGAACCGATATATTGTTTTAGGTAAGGACTTCGAAAAAGGTTATAAAAATAATATTAAAAAAGATGAGCAGGAACATGAGTTTTATAAATAAGAATTTCAAGGTTTATGGTTTATGCTTATAAAGATTAAATAACTATTGTCATAACAACTCGAAATGAAGATATTTTATTTAAAGTTAAATAAAGGATAAATTTTTACTTGTAAGAAGCAGAGGTGATTAAAGTAAAGTAGAAATTAAAAACAAATTATAAATACATATTACAATCGGTATAAGGTAAGAATCCGAACGTTGCAAAAACTAAAAAAATAAGTATGGACGTCGATAGATGTTTTTGAGACAAGTATTACGGTATAATTTTTTTGGAGCGGAATTGACAACTACGGCAGTTACGAAAGGTCTAAAGGTCAAATGCAGCGGTTTTTTCAAATCCAGACATCTCCAAAACCATCGCACGGATTCTTAAAACTTTGATGTCATTCAATACGAAATATGAGTCGCTTTAATTAGAAAGAACCAGGTTGACCGAGCTTTGCTCGAAGTGCATACATACACTTTTGAAAGTTTCAAGGTTTGGGTTTGAAGTACTGGTCATTTAGGTAGCTTAAAAAATTGTATTTTGGAAATAAATTAAAAATATTGACTTTTGATACACTTGTGATCAGCTAATTAAGCCAGCAACATTTTGATAAATTTTGGCTGTTTTGCTTTCGCTTATTTAATGTTTATTATTTTTCCATATAAGTTTAGCTCATTATATAACAAACACCATATAAATCCAGATTTCAAACTTTGTGCAAAAATTATGAAAAATTGCAAAGTTTCAGCTAAATTTTCAACTTTTTATTAAGATTTTTTAGAATTTTTTTGAGTATGCAGTTTAATAACCCATTAAATTTTAGGGCAATAATGTGCAAGTTTTAAGTTGCTAAAAAATCTCGTTGAGTTTTAATATTTTTTTTTCTGACTGCATTACAAATTTTTTTCCATACAAAATAAATTCGACAATTTTGAAAATCTAGCTGAAATTTTGCAGAATTTTCTTAATTTTTTCAAGAAGTTTGAAATCTGGATTTATATGGTGTTTGTTATATAATGAGCTAGACTTTTATGGAAAAATAATATACATTAAATAAACGAAAGCAAAATAGCCAAAATTTATCAAAATGTTGCTGGCTTAATTAGCTGATCACAAGTGTATCTTATGAAGTAAGTTTTTTACATTAAAGATTAGGTGGCAACCCTATTTAGAAATACGCTGGGATGAATATTGCATATCTTGAGCCGATTCTGAACAGAGACTCCCTGGGAGTTTTCTCTCTTTTCCCTTTCCTCCTATCATGAATAAAAATTCCCTGAGGATTTTTTATATTAAATGGTGGAGTTGAGCTGTCAAAAAAGTGTCAGAGCTTTTTCGAAGCTCTAATTTCCACCCAAATTTTCGGGGAAAATTCTACTCCCTAGGAGTTAATTATTGCAGGATTTCTTTCCCGGCAGAAACAAGTTCCCGGAGAACAAACTCCCCGAGAATATTAAGAATTGGGCTGTGTATACATTGGGCTGGGTCGATTTGGTATGGGGGAAAATAAGAGGCATTTTCTGGTGTTATAACACTGTGGAACAAATTCAGGTTAGCAAAAGTTAGGCCGATTCTGAGAGTGAGGGGTGAAAATAGAGGCTAAATTAGAAGACCCGGATCACGGCGTTTGTTTATGTTAGTTCGAATTTTTTTTGAATCGACCTTCGAACTTTGCAGTCAAATGCCGATTTTCAGCATATTGTTTATATGGTTTTTTGGCTATAACTCGTCGACTAATTGATATTTTTTCAATCTGTTAAAGCCAAATTATTGCTACAGACCTGTGCAACAATTAAAATTAAAAAATTGATTTAGAAAATTTTTGTAGTGCTTATGAAGCAAAATGTTGGAAAATTTTTTTTTCATGCTTTTTGAACATATTTTCCACAAAACTAAGTCTTTTTTGCTTTCTGTTTGATCTATAATATGCTTCTCAGTTTCTTCAATAAATTTCATTTGAAAAGAAAACAATCATAATACAAAACTTGCGTTTTCCAGCTTAATATTAATTTACTTCTCATTTCTTATGTACCAATTTTTTCAGTGTTGGTTTTGAAGAAACATTGAAAAAGAAATTATAAAAACATGGAAAAAAATATAATTTTGAAATGTTAGTTATGAAAAGTTTTAAGTAAAAAAATTAAATAAATTAAATTAATAATTTGGCCAGTTGCCGTTTAGCAGGGGGCTGTGGATCAACATCACTGCTCTCTCCAATATCTTGGTCATCGTCATCATCATGAGAAAGGTCGATAATTTCGTTCAACAGATATTGTGGAATTTCATCTTTGTCTTCCCCTTCTTCCTCTTTTTCCTCGTCTTCCTCTTCTTCAAAGGTGTTTTTATACCACCAACAAATTTCAGCGAGTATTGCATCTGGAGATTTCTTTCCTCTGTACCTGAAACGAAAATAGTTTTCAATCGTTAACATGTTTAAATTGTGCACTCTGACAAAGATATTAGAAAAATCTAGGAATTCCAAATACGCACACTCTATAGTTACCTTATTTCAAATGGAAGCGCAGTTTGGTGATAACGTTCGCTTTGCTCATCAGATTCAGTTGGCAACTGTTGAGCGAGTTGATGAAGATGCTGATGCAAGAGATGAATTTTGTACGACATATTAACCCCAATTTCATCGAAAGCTGCCAACATGTTTGCAACAGATTGCCTGTAGTTGTCTTTGCGTTCTTTACCCAAAAGTCCTTTAATGACTGCTTTCAATGCGAGCCATGCATTTAATTCTCGGTCTGTCAGAACTTGGTCAAAATCTTGACGACTCATTAGTTTCCGTATGTCGGAACCATTAACAACCCCTTCCTGAATTTTGGCGTTACTTAGTCTTGGGAAAATGTCTTTTAAGCGGTTGAATACTGCTGGAAGGGGAAGACAAAGATGAAATTCCAGAATATCTGTTGGACGAAATTATCGACCTTTCTGATGATGATGACGATGACCAAGATATTAGAGAGAGCAGTGATGTTGATCCACAGCCGCCTGCTAAACGGCAACTGGCCAAATCATTAATTTAATTTATTTAATTTTTTTACTTAAAACTTTTCATAACTAACACTTCAAAATTATATTTTTTTCCATATTTTTATAATTTCTTTTTCAATGTTTCTTCAAAACCAACACTGAAAAAATTGGTACGTAAGAAATGAGAAGTAAATTAATATTAAGCTGGAAAACGCAAGTTTTGTATTATGATTGTTTTCTTTTCAAATGAAATTTATTGAAGAAACTGAGAAGCATATTATAGATCAAACAGAAAGCAAAAAAAGACTTAGTTTTGTGGAAAATATGTTCAAAAAGCATGAAAAAAAAATGTCCAACATTTTGCCTCATAAGCACTACAAAAATTTTCTAAATCAATTTTTTTTTTTTAATTTTAATTGTTGCACAGGTCTGTAGCAATAATTTGGCTTTAACAGATTGAAAAAATATTAATTAGTCGACGAGTTATAGCCAAAAAACCATATAAACAATATGCTGAAAATCGGCATTTGACTGCAAAGTTCGAAGGTCGATAAAAAAAAATTCGAACTAACATAAACAAACGTCGCGATACGCGTCTTCTAATTTAGCCTCTATTTTCACCCCTCACTCTCAGAATCGACCTAACTTTGTTCCACAGTGTAATAGCAAAGAACGTAGATAACAAGAAGGGACAACTCGTTATAATTGTAGCGAAAGTGCGCAACAGGGGCGTGCCTTCTCTTTTGCCCTAGTGCATTTTTTGATTGGATGAACAGAGAAGGCACGCCCCTGTTGCGCACTTTCGCCACAATTATAACGAGTTGCCCCTTCTTGTTATCTACGTTCTTTGCTATTACACTGTGGAACAAAGTTAGGTCGATTCTGAGAGTGAGGGGTGAAAATAGAGGCTAAATTAGTTTGTTACACAGTTACTTTGGTAATAGTAATGGGTGCGTTCAGAAATGCATCAAGCCAAAGCATCAGTCTCTGTTATTTCTAAACTATAATTGATGGAAATGTCAAATATGCGCAACCACGGATAAAAGCCGAATTTGAACTTTGTTGCGTAAATAAGACATTTCCATCAGTAATAGTTTAGAAATAAAAGATACTGACGCTTTGGCTTGATGCATTTCTGAACGCACCCAATATTATGTTGTCTTAGGTCTAAGCCAATTGTTATTGACCACGAAAGATTAATTTAAAACTTATCTTTAGCCCGCGCAATTGATTCACAAGTGTATGTATTTTGAAAATGAAACTTTGGCTGGTAATATATATGGAATGCTTTAATTGTTATAAACAGGACAATATATCAAATTAAAGGTTATTAATGGCCCTATTATGCATGGCGACTGATAGCCGATAGGCAACCATATACTAAAATGCGCATTACGTATGGCAACTGGCTACTGACTGTCAGCTACTGAATCTAGTAGTGGATGTTTCTCTTTCCCGCTTATCTTATTACATTAAACGAGGAATTCTTGAATATAAATAATCACCCGCATTGCGCAAGTCGTAAATTAGGCTAAATTGTACGACCCGACAACATTGGCATTGTCTAGTGTCGTGCTGAAAACGACGAAAATCGTCGAAAACTACGCAGTGCTGCCAAGTTTTTCCGTTTTAATACACTAGTCGAGTGTAAACTTTAGGCAATGAAGTGAAATTTTCGATACGATTCGACTCTCGAAAAACGACTTACATTCGACACGACTCTTGCAATGAGGGTGATATATGTATATCCACATGGTTCTCGGCAACGGCTCTAACGATTTTGATTAAATTTTATATTCAGATAATGTTTTGCATTTTAAGGTTATCTAAATAAGCATTATATCCGAGAGGACTCGTATAAGGTTGCCACCTATTCGAAATTAGTTGCAAATTAATTAAAACATAATATGAGTATCAAGTGGAAGATATTTTAAGCATCCCTAATCCAAAAATATTTTTGATAGCGTTGCCACCTGTTTTGAATCGCATATTTGCTAATTTCTTTTTATCTAGAAAATAAAGTTACAATATTACTACTCATGGGTAAAAGGTCACGGATCTTAAACAATGCTTTCCCCACATACTAAGTTTTATCCCTT